GGAAATCGGTAAGGAGTGACTTAGAGTTCCTTTAAACAGGTGTCCTCAAAGGTGGGGAGAAGGCAATTTTTCCAAAGATACAATTGAAATTTGAGAGACCATAAAAGTGTGTATGTAGGGAAAAAAAATGTTCCCTGCAGGAAACAGCAAATGGAAAACCTTGATATCAGAATATGTGTGACTCTTTAAGAAAAAGAAAGAAAGTCAGGGAGAGTAAAGACGAAACAATGGCGGAGGTGGTAGACAACGAAATAACCGTATAACACCCTATGGCTCAGGGTTTGATCTGAATTTGAATGTTATGATTAGCTTCGGAGAGACTTTCAACATAGAGGGTTCTGATCTCAACTTTTAATTCACTGATTTGCCACTTGAAAAATGGATATGATTCATCATTTCTATAAGCTTTTCCATCTCTACTATATCAGAAACTGTTTTTTCCATCCTATATTCTCTACATAATGCAGAGATTGGCATGAGGACAGTGATTATGATTAAATGAAAATGTCATATAACAGCATAAAGAAATACTTAAAATTAATATCAGATGAGTAATTTATGAAAAGTGGAAGTCTTCCAAGCTGATGAAAAACTGACAGGCTTAGACTTTGGTAATGTGGGTATGAAAGTTATAGTAGGCCAAGGATGCAATGTATATTCATAATCTGTAGATAGAGTATATGAGTCAAAGCTTATTTATTTAACATTTCATATAATATCTGGATGTCATAATTTTAATTTCATGTCATTTTGTGCATGAAAGGGTTTAGAATGATAACAGAAATAAGCATGTATACATTTGTTTACATGTAAAAACATGGTATTTATGACCAGTTTTCAATTTCTTTCAGTTCATCACTACATATAACACAAGAATGAACAGTTCACTTTATGAAATTACAGTATGGCAAATATGTTTGAGAGGTGACAGAGAACTGTTATGTCTGCTATATGTTTAGAAGAATATTGTCAGGTGGAAGACATCTGAAGTATATTATTAAGCTCTAAACTACAGATCTCGCTTAAAATCAGAAACTAATTAGCCAAAAGAGATAAAGAAGCATGTTTCTTGAAATAAGTTTACCAAGAATATGAATTAAAAATTGTAAATAATTCCTTTCACAATAGCATCCAAAAAACTGAAATACCTAGGAATCAACCTAATGAAAGAAATCAAAGACTTCTTCTCTGAAAATTATGGCACTCTGAAAAGAGAGATTGAAGATGATATCAGAAAATGGACAGACATCCCCTGCTCCTGGGGAGGAAGGATTAATATAGTGAAAATGGCCATACTTCCAAATCTGCCCCTTTTATCTTATTCAGACTACTTAGATCAGGTAGCACTCACACCCTTAATCCTAGCGCTCTTGGGCCTAGTGCTCCATCATGAATCAATCTCACACTTTAGATTCAGACACCTCTGAAAAAGCATGAGGTTTGGGGGGAACATTTAAACACAAACCATAACTTAGAGCAACAAAGAACAATGAAAGATGATAGGAAAAGAAAATAATATTGACAAATAAGTTAATGGATGGAAAAAGAATAAACCAATCTATCAACATACTGTTTTTAAAGAAAACCATTCATTAAACCCAGAAAAAAGGACATGAAATAGAGAAACAGAAGATAGCAAAGGCAAAATGGCCACTTAAAGAGAGAATATTGAAAAAATTAAACTTAACATCTCTATTCAGACAGCTTGTATCAAACAATTTTCTGGAGAAATACAGTCAATCGTAATGAACCTCATACAAGTCTTAACCAAATTCCTAGATAAAAAACAATTATAAATAAATTAACCTACTCAAAAGGACCAGGGCAATATATTTACATAGGGAAAAATTTTTAAATTTCCAATGGTCACAGGCCCAATGCTCTGTTGTCTTGAAAATATCAAATAGATGTATTAAACCTCATAAAGACAGTGCTCACAAATAAGGACAGATCAATATTATTTTGATGAAAAGCACTACACAGAATATTACAAAGCCAAATCCAGTGTTGCATTAACAAAGCAATATAGCATAACTAAGTGGCATCATTCCCTGAATTCACATCTGACTCGATATTAAGAGAAGCATTAATGTTAAGTACCAGCTTAAGAAATATATACAGGTTACTATTTCTGTCAATACTGATAAAGTCTTCAGCAAATATTACCATCCAATTTCAATTTGAAAAAAATCAAAATTCAAGAATTGGTGATTTTTTTTTCTGGGCACACACACACACAAAGTTAGTGTGTCTTAGTCACATTCTTCATTGCTGGGACAAAATACCTGACACCCACAATTTAAGGGTGGAGAAGTTTATTTTAGTTCACATTTCATTGCATAGTTAGCTAGCCCCAAAGCAAAATGGCATGGGAGAGGGGCATGGGCAAGCAGAGCTGCTCATGGCATGCAGACAGAAAACAGAGTGAAAGGAGCTGCTGTGGAGGGAGATAAACCCTTTCAACCCATGCTCCCAATCACCTGACTCTTCTGACCTGAACCTCCAAGTCAGCTAGAAGCCCCTACAATTCAAACACCTTCCCAAAGCCCTACGATGAGTGCATGAGACTATTGGGGAGCATACAGATATAAATCAAACACACACACACACACACACACACACACACACACACAGCTATTCTCTGTCATCTGTCTAGGTTAGTCCTCTGAGCATCATATTATTTAATAGGGAAAGACAGGAAACATTTAAATTGAATTCAGAATCAAAGAAAGGATGCTCACTCTCTCCTATGCTTTTTCACATTGTGCTGTTACACAAGAGGTATTAGGTCAATGAAATAAGAAAAGAAAGGTGTAATAATTGGTAAGGGAGAAAGGACTTAGCATTTACATAGATTAGTTAGCATTAATCTCGATCTACAGATATGATGGTAATAGAAATAACAAAGTCTAAAGTAAATGATAAAATTATTTCAAATAATGAAAGAATTGAAGAAGTCAAATACTTCTGAGAACTCAGTAAAAGAACTGAAAACTAGTACCAGATTTTGAAGCTTTGCTCCCCTAGTTCCCTGTGACAGTTTGCGGGCAAGAGTGGGATGGGAATAGGATAAGGCTGGTGGTCTAGGAGATCTGTCTCATTTTTATCTTTTTAGTTCACCTGAGGTTCCTTTTGATGAAAGTGTTCGATCCACTTAAATACACAAATCTGGAAATTGTTCAACACATTATTTACTAGGAAAGGGAAAGAGGTTAGAGAAAGTCTATCCAGCGGTACAGGCTCTTAAAGAAAGGTTAAATCTAAGAATAATAGCCGTAGTGTAGATGAACCATGCATTTGATCAAAGTACTACCTTTAGGAGAGTGGCAATGAGTCATCAAGTAGGGAAAAATATTTGCAAAGTAGAACACGAATGGACACCAGTGTCTGGATGATATAAAGTATGTTTGCAAACAAGGAGCAGGTAAACATTTCAAATAAGAAAGGGAGCAAACATCTATGTTCCAAAATTACTAATAAGATAAAAATAAATGGAAACATAGAGAAAATCCTCAATGTTTATGTTATTAGAAAAATATGAATGAAAATCTCAATGAACTTCAATTGCATACAAAGACAAATAATTTTAAATCAATAATAATTTAGCCACTTTGTGAACATACAGGGTATATTGCTAATTTTGGAGGATATAACTTGGGAGAATTCTTCCACAATAGGTCTTAAAACTTAACATATTCATATTCAATGACACACACATTCCATATCTGGCTATGCCTTTAACAGCAAAGGATACATATCTACAACCAAAGAAATGTATGTGAATACTTACAGTATAACTATTCACAGTAATTATTACATGGAAACAACCCACATGCATATCAGATGGAGACTATAAATTGTTATCACATCCACCTATCTCAGAATGGTGCAGTGTAATAAAAATGAATATAGGAAAATGCATTGTTGATTCTCACACACATAATGATAAATGAAAGGACTCAAATTCAACATTCAATATGCCACATGGTTTCCTTTGTAGAAAGTTAAACATAAAAGCAAAAGCGGCATATTTTGATCAAAGAAAGGATAGCTGTTTTCCTTGGGAGAGAAGGATATGATTATGAGAAGACACAGAGTTGCAGTATATTGATATGGTGAGTTTGGAAGAGTGAATTTTCTCTGTGACAATTAGGAATGGTACAACCTAATGTACTCAAGATTTGTGATCGCATGCATATATTATTTATATAGACATGCATATATACTCTATTACATGTATGTATACAGAGATTACATATACACACACATGTGTATTTGCTTACCCTGGGTCTAGTAGAGCTCAAAGCATTTATGTTCCAACACAACACATTTAAAAATTTATCTGGGAAGAATGTGAAGATCTGTCCTACTTAGTAATATTTTTGTGAGATATTTTGAAAACAATATTGGAGTATATTTAAATAATTTTTTCAATTTTCAATTAATAAAGTCAGTAGTCAAGAAATGCTATTTATAAGAAGTATAGGTTAAAATTGCATTATTTAATTTCAAAGGAAGAGCAGGAGAAAAAGGGAAGATCCGCCTTATCTTCCAATTTACAGTCAATGTAAGTCATCCCCAGTACTTTTTCTATTAGGGCAGGCAAGTGAGGATTTGACACACCACGATGGTCACACACTGTCTCAGCCTAGGTGTAGCTCAGTGACCTGTGACAAACAAGGCAAACTTTGGGATAGATTATTTTACATTTTGAATGATAGGATTAGTTTCAGTAGGATCTTATCAAATTATATGTGGTGCTTTTTTGAAGTTTTAACAGGAAAAAATATCTTTGCAAAATAATGTGGAAGAAAAAAGCACAATAGAACAGAGATGAGCTTCAAATAAACCAAAAGACCATGGAAGAACAGAATATCTACATATGAGATACAGTTTATGTTTGTTTTCTTCTCTATTATGTTACATTTACACAATTGTGAATAATGCATATTTATCAATTGTAAAATTTTTAATAACTTTAAAATTTAACTGTTTAGAAGATGGCAACTCCCATGCATTGGCTCATAGCCAGGAGACAAGCTGAAGGAAATTAGAAACATGTAAGGTGTCAGAAAATGCTTGGGATTTGGACACTGGACTTATGAATGCACTGGAAAAGGAGTAGACTGACATAGGCCATCAAGAACAGCAGAACTAAGGAAAGCTTTACAAGAAAAAGAAAATAGATTATTATTGCAGCAAAGCATGGGAAAAACCCATGTAGAAAGAAAGACCAAGAAAAGAAGGTCCAAGAGTGTAACTAGTTCCAGTAGTGATAGCAATGACAGGTCAGCTAGTGACTCTTCATCAGGGAGTGAAGACACATTGACCGTCTCCTACCAGGACAGTGACTCCAACGAGAGCTCCTCCAGCTCGTCATCCTCAGCCTCCTCCACAACCTCCTCCTGCTCCTCCTCCTCCTCGGACTCAGACTCAGGCTCCAGCTCTCCCAGCAGCAGCAGCAGCAGCTGGGAAAGCAGCTCTGAGGATGAGTCCCTAAAGAAGAAGAAGAAATAGAATTTCCCATCCATATTGGACCTATGAACCGAGAACACCAACGTGATTCTCAGGAGAGAATTTAGACAATAGGAAAGCCACAGAGATTACTGTTCAAAATTCTTAGAGTTCCAAACTTTCCGTGTTTTACATTGTAAGAGCATAAAAATGATTAATAATGATATATATAGATAGATAGGTATAGATAGATATGTTTTAATTTTGGAGGTGACTCTTGTTTTTCTTTTGTCTTTAAAACGTATCTCTAGAATTTAAAACTAAAATCCAGTAAATTACCATTTTAATCACTTTTAAATGTACAATTCAAGTTGGACATGGTGGTGCAGGCCTGTAATCCCAGCACTCCGGAGGCTGAGGCAGGAGGATCGCCATTAGTTCAAGGCCAGCCTGGGCTCCATAATGAGTTTGAGGCCACTCTGAACTGCAAGTGAGACCATGTCTCAAAAAAAAAAAAAAAATCCAACAAATCCGTTTTCTAGAAATTAATTCTATTGGAACATTTAATGTATACAATAGAATGACATTCATCATTGGAAATTTGCACCTTTACATAAAACATCTTGGTTCTTACTTTTCTCCCATTCCCCCGCCCTCCCTTCACCCTCTCCCTATCTGCAAAGACTGTTTCCATTTTTTCTTTTTCTTTTTCACATATATTAATTCCATTCCCTTCTTTCCTTTCCCCTACCCCTCCCACTTCCCCTTCCCCTTTGCATATTTTCTTCGTATTTCACATTATCTATTATATCCTTTAATCCTTATTTACACTTTCAGTTTCTCACACTAGAGAAACTATTCGGTATTTGCACATGTGTGTTCTATTTATTTCACTTAAGAGTATCGCCTTGGGTTGGGGATTTAGCTCAGTGGTTCCGCTGCCTGCCTCACAAGCACAAGGTCCCAAGTTCGATCTCCAGTACCAAAAAAAAAGTATCGCCTCAATGTGCATCCATGCATCCATTTAGCTATAAATGTCTCTAGTTTCTCATTCTTTATGGCTGAGTAATACTTCATTGTATTAAAAAAAACAACATATTTTCTTTATCCAGTCTCCAGTATTTGGGCAATTGGGTTGCTTCCAAGTTTTAGCTATCACGAATTGTGCTGCTGTGAACATGAGTGCACTTATATCACTGTGGTATGATTTTTTTAATTCTTTGGGGAAGATACCAGCAGGGGAATAGCTGGGTAAAATGGGTCTTCCAATCCTAGTTCTTTGAGGTATCTCCATATTGATTTCCACAGTGGTTGCACCAGTCTACACTCCCACCAACAATAAAGTGTTCCTTTCTCTAATCTCAGTGTTGTTTTCATTTGCATCTCTCAAATGACCAGTGAAGTTGAGCATTTTTTCATAGGTTTATTTGCTATTTCTACTTCTTTGTCTGAGAAATGTCTGCTCATTTCAGATGCCCATTTTTGGATTGGGTCTTTAAATTTGGGAGGTCTGATGTTTTTAAAGTTCTTTATAGATTCTAGGTAATGGACCTTTGTCTAAGGGACAGCTGGTGAAAATTTTTTCCCACATTGTGGGTTGCCTCTTCACACTGTTTGTGGTTTCTCTTGCTGGGCAGAAGCTTTTTCATAAGTTTTTCATAAGCTTTTTCATTTGTTGATTGTTTGCTCTAGTTCACAGGCAAGCAAGGTTTTATTCATAAAATCTTTTCCTACACCAGTGTCTTCAAGAGTTCTTCCTAACCTCTCTTCCAGCTGGTTTAGTGTTTCTGTTTTAATATTTATATCTTCCATCCATTTCAATTTTAGTGTAGTGCATGGTGATAGATACAGGTGTAGTTTTAATCTTTGGCAAGTTGAAACCTAATTTTTCCAGCAACATTAATTAAAGAGGCTATCTTTCCTCCAGTGAGGGTGTTTGGCTCCTTTGTCAAAGATGAGGTGGCTGAGTATGTCTGGAGTTGTTTCTGCATCTTCTAATCTCCTCCGCTGGTCCTTAGGTCTGTTTCTTTGCAGGAACGATGCTGTTTTTATCACAGTAGCTTTATAGTATATTTTCAAGTTGGGAATTGTGATACCCCCTATCTTGTCTTTATTGCCTAGTATTGTTTTTGCTATTCTATGTTTCTTCTTGTTCCAAAGGAATTTTTGGATTGTTTTCCCCAGGTCTGTGAAGTATGCTCCTGGGTTTTCAATTGGGTTGCAATTGCATCTATATAACAGTTTTGGAAGTATGGCCATTTTCACTATATTGCTTCTTCCTACGTGGGAGCAAGGGATGTCTTTCCATTTTCTGATATTCTCTTCAATCTCTTTTTTCAGAGTGCTGTAGTTTTCAGAGTAGAGGTCTTTGATTTCTTTTGTTAGGTTGATTCCTAGGTATTTCCATTTTTTGGATGGTATTGTGAAAGGAATTGATTGCCCCATTTTTCTCTCAGTGAGTCTGTCTTTTTTGTATAGAAAAGCTGTTGATTTTTGTGTGTTGACCTTGTATCCAGCTACTTTACTGAATTTGGCTATTAAGTCTAGAAGACTTTCGGTGGAGTTCTTGGGGTCTTCTATATAGAGTATCATGCCATCTGCAAATAATGACAACAACAAATCTGTTTTTTGTGATGCAACTTATATTTTCTCCCTGTGAAATGAATGCCTTGCTTTATTATATGTTAAAGGTATGTGTTGGACAGATTTTTAGGATAAATCATCAGAATATCTGGTTGTGTTGTTAAGATTTAGTACATTGTTAACCTGAGCTTCGAAGTTTTCCTTCTGTTAATAAATGTAGTCTTTTTAAAAAATTTAACTCTTTAGTAGATCAGTAGACTGAAAACGTAACAGTTTTTTTTCGAAGTAATAGAATCTCAAGGCAATTCTTCAACTGTTAGAACAAAAAACACACATTATCCCAGCAGACTAGCTGACCTTCAGTAACCTTTTGATTTCTCTGTGCCTGAGACTAACACTGGTCTACATGTCTGAATCATGACTTCACCCTCAAGATACTATAAACACTTTCTTTCAGGAAAGCAAATGACCACACATATGTAACATCCCCAGGCACCAAACTAGACACAGAGCTGGAGAAATGTCTGAAAGAAGTTAGAAGATTCCTGAAAATTTAGGACCATTAAAACTTTAGTCCTACTAACCTCCCTAAGATGAAAAATAACTTAAGAAGAGATCTGATTTATTTAAAAAAATACTTTCAGAACACCTTTCTCTTTGCCTTATGCTTATTTACTAAAAGGACGATGCCTTTTCACCTTATTAGATCATTTTATCTTTAGTTACCACTTCTTGGCCTTTTGGCTAAGATCAAGTTTAGTTCCTCTTTCAGAACATGTCATTACACTTTTCTGGGCCCGATGAGCATCCATCACGCATTTACTTTCAAGCTCAAAATATACACAGGGAGTTTTGGATTTTGTGAACTCTTACTATTATTAAGTTTTTTCAGTTGTCAGTATCCATAGTCCATTCTGATGATGAATAGAGGCATTATCTTTCCAGCATTAAAATGCAGTTAGAGTTGTAATGAGCATCATTAGGGACTCTAATGTGAATCAGAACTCTGTCATTTTATTCAGAATTTTTTTCAGTTTATTTGTGTTTTATAAGAGGGAGTTTTTTTAAATATGGTTTTATCAAAAATAGCATTGAGCTCTCTCTCTCTCTCTTTCTCTATATATATATATATATACAGCACATATGTAAATACTATTCTGACATTTATTTTTAAAAAGTTCTAATTCTGTCTAGTTAATTCTTAATTTTAGTAGCCTTTAAGTATATAGCAACATCCTTTCCTAATAATAATTTTTGCTCGAGTTAGTCTAAGCTTTTATGAATATCCATTTTTAAATAACATTGTACATCTATATGCTTAAATTTGGATGTACTGTTTTAAAGTTTCGGTAATAGAAGCAAATGGGCTTTCTTTGAAGTCTGATTCATAAAATGAATGGCTTCTTGATTTTGCCTTAGAACTTAGCACATATGCCCATTTAGAAATGTTATGGGAATACTGTAATATGTCATCATGGGACTCACTGTGTATCATGACCGTTTCCTCCTTTATTGTGCTTTAGCAACCAATGATTTAGATTTATATAGGTTAAACATGCAGACAATCATTATCTATAATCACTTTTGATATATTAAGCTTTGTAAACTGCTACAGATTGAGAAAGTATATTCGAAAATGAAAAGTAACTTCCAATAATTTAAGCTTTATGGCTTTGCTTTGTAACTCCCTACAATATCAGTTCAAAATTTTCTGCTTCTGAAATATAATAATGATGTCATGTTAACCAAGAAGATTGAGTGACTCCTTCCTCTTTCCTAAGCCAAGGTAAGTACCTTTCACTCACAAATGCGAGAATTACAAATCTTAGACTTACTTTGAAAGATTAACTCCAGGCACCTAGCAAATAGATTTTTGTGGCCATGAAAGAATAGAAGAACTCCCAAGTGGAATATCAAACACAGCTCAGATGTTCCAAGTCTGAATGCTGTATTGGGAACAGAAGTGAAAATCAATGTCTGATAAAGTGCCACATGCAAATTCCCATTGAAAGAGAAACATTTCTCTGGGTATTATGGCAAAGCTGGATAGGGTGGCATTTGAGAGGTGACAGAAGCCTGAAGGACACTCTTAGTCTCTTTTTTGAAGTATGAAATTGGAAAAGGTAGTTAAGATACAAATAAGAGATCAAATTTTGATTGCTAACTCACTCATACTCTGTAATTAAAAATAGACACACATTTATGAACAAAAAATATTTTCCCACATATAATTTTTAAAATTTGAAGCTTTTCAAATTTATTGCAAAATTCAGTGGTAAATGAGCTCATATGTTGGAATCATAACATGCTTGTATTTTATAAACAACTTACAATAAAAAATGAAAAGAAAAAAAAATTTTAAACTAATATCTAGTTTTGTATTCATATTTTCAACTGTCTTTCTGTTAAATTCAACGTTTTCCTACGTAGTTTAACTTTACTATAAATTTGTTGCTAACATAGCTATTACAAATGAAAAG